GAGCCTCGCACCCCACCACGCCAGCCCGGACCCACCGGCACCCGCCTCGGCCTCCGACCCGCACCGGGGAAAGACTCAAAGTAAACCCTTTTCCATCCAGGGACTGGAGCTCCGTTCTCTGGGTAAGACCACCCTGACAGCGGCCACCTTCATAGACGCGATAATCATGCGTCAAATTGCCCACGATAAGGGGCCGCGAGAAGGAGGTTCGCGGGCCAGCGGCTCCCCTCGCCATGGTAAGAGTCCCGGCCCGCCGCCCACCCTCGCAGCCGCCAGATGTTTCCAGACCTTTGCTTTTTATTTCCCCATTTTTTGTTGGTTTCGGTGTTTCGGTTTTGAGCCCGTCCCTGCCGATCTGCACGCCCTGATGATTTTCCGGCCGCTGCCCCTCCTGGTCTGGGGCCCCTCATTATTTGCACATCATTTGAACGTGATTTTTTTTTCTTTTCTTTTTTTCCTTTTTCCTTTTCCTTTTTCTTTCTTTTTTTTTTTTTTTTTTTTTTTCTTTTTTTTGTTTTTTTTTTTTTTTTTTTTATAATGTGTAGTGATTTGGACTCCAACTGCGCCTCCCACCTGCCCCTTTGCGCCATGGTGTGGGGAGCAGGGAGTGGGGCTCCAGGGGGGCTTTGGGGTCGATCGTTTTTGCCTGCTGCTGTGTGGATTTGAAGGGAGACTGGGGGGGCAGGAGCACCCACATTGTCCAGGAGGAACTGGGCACCCCACCCTGCCCTCAGGAAGCCTGGGGATACCTGTTCCCAGCCCCTGGCACCCTGGGGAGAAGGGGCGCCCCTGGAACACAGCCCCCACATGCTGGGCTGGGTGCAGGCGGGGCCCCTTGGCTGTTTCCTCCTCGTGCCCTGCTCTGTTGCCTGGGTCTCTGGCCACCCACTTCTCTCTCTGTCCCGCTCAGTGCCTGTCTGTCTGCCTCTGTCTCTGTCGACTCTCCCTTTGTCCTTTCTGTCCAGCCCCAGCCCCTCTGGTTCACTGGGGTTCACACCCGGTCCCAGCTGCACCCCTTTACCCCAGGGCCCCAGCCAGCCAAGGAGGCAGCTCTGCCCCTTGGTGCTGCCCCGCCTCTGACCCGGGTCCCATCCTTTGCAGGTTACCATGGCTACAGCCCAGAAGGGGTGGAGCCCATCAGCCCAGTGAGCTCCCCCAGCCTGACCCACGACAAGGGGCTCCCCAAGCACCTGGAGGAGCTAGACAAGGGCCACCTGGAGGGGGAGCTGCGGCACAAACAGCCAGGTATCCCTCCCCATGAGATGGGGACACCGTGACCCTGTCGCAAAGATGGGGAGACAGGCACCCCCTGATTGGCCCGCTCTCCATTCAGGCCCCGGGAAGCTCGGAGGGGAAGCTGCCCACCTCCCGCACCTGCGGCCGCTGCCCGAGAGCCAGCCCGTGTCTACCCCGCTGCTGCAGACGGCCTCAGGGGTCAAAGGTCACCAGCGGGTGGTCACCTTGGCACAGCACATCAGTGTAACTACCCACCCCGCCGGGGGCAGGCACACACAGCTCCGTTCGGAGGGTGGCCGGGTGGGTGAGGTCCCAGGGGGGACGCTGTGGCCCCGCTTCCCCGCCCCAAGGGTGCAGGGCGCAGGGCCAGCTCTAGGGCCACGGATGACCCCTGAGCTGCCCGCCCCATGCTGCCAGGGCCTCTTGGGGCAGCCGCTGACAGACCCTGCCCTGCCCGCAGGAGGTCATCACGCAGGACTACACTCGGCACCACCCCCAGCAGCTTGGCTCGCCGCTGCCCGCACCACTCTACTCCTTCCCTGGAGCCAGCTGCCCGGTGCTGGACCTCCGCCGCCCGCCTGGTGACCTCTACCTCCCACCCCCTGAGCTCAGCACCACGGCCCGAGGCTCCCCGCTCAGCGAGGGGGGCAAGAGGTGAGCCAGAGGGGTAGCTGGGTGGTGGCAGGCCCGCCGGTGCGCTGCATGGTGGGAGAACAAGGCTTGGGCCTGTCGGGGGCACAGCGGCTCTGCAGCGGCTGGCAAGGCTCGGACACTGCCTCAGCGAGGTCCCGCTTGCCCGTGTGTCCTGGCCTGCAGCGTGTGTGCACACCTGTGCATCCAGGTTCACACCCCTCAGGCCAGGGACGCCCGGCGTGGCCCAGCATGGCCCGCAGCCCTCGGCCCTTTGCACTCAGTTGTCCTCACACGTTTTTATTTCTTTTGGTACCAGGGATGCAACTGAGGACCTTGAGCTTGCAAGGCAGGTGGCGGACCCACTAAGCTAAATCCTTGGCCCTCAGCACTTTTTAAATCAGAGTATTAAGTCACCAAGTTGCCCAGGCTGGCTTGAACTTACGATCTTCCTGCCTCAGCCTCCCAGAGTGCTGGGATGACAGGCATATGCCACCATGCCTGGCATTAGTTTTACGTCTTTAAAAGGTGGTGGGTAGGGTGGGCCACCAAGGCCACTCACAGTCTGCAGCTCCCAGCATCCTGGGAGGGAAGCCTGCTGAGGCCTGGCCGCATGGGGAGCAGCTCCTGCAGGAGGCTCCGACAACAGCTGGGACCCTCGCTCACCCAGGTCTCCAGAACCGAGCAAGACATCGGTCCTAGGAGGCGGCGAGGATGGCATTGAGCCCGTGTCCCCACCAGAGAGCATGACAGAGCCCGGGCACCCCCGGAGTGCCATGTACCCACTGCTGTACCGGGATGGGGATCAGGCAGAGCCCAGGTACTCCTGGAACAGAGCCCGGTGCAGGGCTGGGGGGACACAGCCGTGGGAGTGAGTGCGGGTGAGGCCATGGCCCAGCAAGCTGACGGATGTCTGGCCCTCCTGGCAGGATGGGTTCCAAGTCCCCAGGCAGCACCAGCCAGCCGCCCGCCTTCTTCAGCAAGCTGACCGAGAGCAACTCCGCCATGGTCAAGTCCAAGAAGCAGGAGATCAACAAGAAGCTCAACACCCACAGCCGGACGGAGCCAGAATACAGTAAGGGGACACCCCGTCCTGGCATAGGCGGGGCCACTGTGAAGCCCAGGCTGGCCTCAAACTCAGGGCGCTCCTCCTGCCTCAGCCTCCTGAGTGCTAGGATTCCAGGACTGCACTGCGCTGCCTGGCTCAGACTCTGAGTCTTTCACGGCACAGAGTTGCCACACACACACAGCCAAGAGGGCTGGCTGCAGTGGCCTCACTGGCCCCTTCCTTCCCCTGCTATGGTTGCTGGGTGTGGACTCCAGGCCCTGGCACCGTGCCCGGAATGTAGACCCTGCGGACTGTGGCTGCACCTCCATGGGTTGCACAGGGGTCCCCCAGTCGGTGGGAGCTGAGCTCAGGGACTCGGGGCTGTGGTCTCACCGTCGTACCCTCCCCGTCTCAGATATCAGCCAGCCTGGGACAGAGATCTTCAACATGCCGGCCATCACCGGAGCAGGTAACTGGCCTGCCGCCCACTGTGCCTCAGGACAGTGGCCTGTCCTCGTTCACTGAAAGTCCCTCCTCCTGGCCCCAGGCAGCCTGTGGGGAGCCAGGCACAGCGGGCAGCTGCTGTCCGTGTAGAAAGTGCCTGCGCTGCAGGACAGTGGGGTCGCCCTCCTGCTGTAGTGTCACAGGTGGAGGCCGGCACGTCTGGCCTGGGCTTCCTGGCCAGCGCCTCAGTCTCCTTGAGAAGCTGGGTCCGCGTTTCATTTTTTGCCCCAGCAGATGCAGGTGCACGTGGGAGGTGGTGTAAAGTTCACATGTGGTCAGAAGCCAAATCTGACTTCCGTGGCGCTGGACCCAGTGGCCCTCCAGCGTCCTCGGGCGGCTGTTTCCACTGCCCTGGGAGGAACCAGAGGGTTCGCAGCCTGGGGCCGGGGTGCTTTAGGGTCTGTCCCGGGAGCTTGTACGAACAGTGCTCCCTGGAAACAGAAACCAGCGGGGTGGGTGCCAGCGGCTCCCAGGTGGACCCAGGGGCCTCGTGCCCTGGGAACACGGCAAGGGGGGAGGCCACCTTTTGGACATTAGGGAGGCACTGGGGTCCCACAGGGTGCGTCATCTGCCCGGACTGGACACGCGCAGGGCCTCGAAGGGCCCCGGGGGGAGACCTTCGGTGGAGATGGGTTGGTTGGAAAGGGTTTGCAGAGCCTCCCAGATTGTGGTGGAGCCACCAGCCACCCTGGTGTACCCGCGTGTCAGAATTCACGCTGCTAAAGACTGCTGAAGATTGGTGCTAAAATGTGGATGTCAGAAATGGCTTTCGTTTTTTTGTTTTTTGTGGAAACGCTGAGCTGCATCCCTGGCCCTTGTTCTATATTTTATCCTGAGACAGGTTCTCACACAGTTCCCTAGCCCGGCTCAGACTCAGAGCCCTCCTGCCTCAGCTTCCCCGAGGGCTGGGGACAGGCATGCACCACCACGCCCAGGTGATTTTTTTCCTTAGTGCAGATTAATGGGCAAAAATGTTTCCCAGGCCCCTTCTCCAGCCTGGGACTTGGCCTTTAGTGGAGAAACGCCACCCTGAGCTGCGACCTCTGGGCAAGCCCTGTGGTGCGGTCAGGCCTGGGGTCCGCCCTGTGGCAGCACTGCCGCTCTCCCATGTTTGCTGAACGCCTGGGGTTTTAACTTCTTTCTACCCCTGTTGGGAATCCTGGTTTTTCTTGATGGGCTTGGCTTTTTAAGTGCTGCCGGGAGGTGGCATGGGCAGCACCCGATGGGCTGTGAGCATTGTGTCCCGCAGCCTCCCAGAAGCGGGGCTCTGAGGGGCGAGGCTGGCGTACAAACCCGGAGCCCCGCGTGTGGCTCTTCTGTCCCCACTGTCTGCACAGAGGTGTACAGTTCCTGGGGCTCCCTGAGAGGTTCAGTCAGTCAGGTCTGGGTACTCAGAGTGCTGAGAGGAGGCTCTGCCTGCCTGGTCTGCAGAGGTCCCGGCATGGTTCAGAGAGAAAGGAAACTGGGAACCAAAAGGGGTCTGAGTGGGATCCAGAAGCCTCACTCAGGACCAGGTGGTGGCGTCCACCGCTGTTCCTTGTCACGGGCCAGGCCAGCTGGGGCTGGGCGGAGTGGTCCTCAGCTGTCTCTAGCGCTCCCTGTCCCCGCATGCACTAACTGCATGGCTGCCAGCCCCACCCCGACCGTCTCTTCTCCTCTTTCTGCTCTGGCTCCTGGATGGGGGGTAGATAGGCCCAGCTTGGGGGGTCCCCCCAAAGCTGGAGGAGCTGGGCTGTATCTTCACCCCCAGCCCTGTCCTGCCACCATCGGCTCCCAGCTCAGGCTCCATGCCAGGCCCAGCCTCCCCTCCCCTGGCCAGGCCAGCATTCTCCTCCTGGCCCCACTTGAAGCCACTGGAGTTAAAAATAAGCAGCAGCCTATGCCGGGGTCGGGACTGGAGTGGAGCAGGGGCTCTGACTTCCCAGAGGCCGGGCCTCTTCCCTTCCCCAGCTGGGCTGCCTGGGAACCCCCAGGGTCCCCTCACGCCCCCCCACTGCCCGCAGCACCCTGCAGGGTGACGGGGAGGGAAATGGAGACACGTGTTGCTTTGCGAAATGTGCTCACTGTGTGTTCTCTCTCCCCGCGCCCCGCTCCCGCCCGGCCCGTGTGTGTCGTCTGTCTCTCTGTCTCTCCATCCCAGGCCTAATGACCTGTAGAAGCCAGGCGGTGCCGGAGCAGGCCAGCACCAACATGGGGCTGGAGGCCATAATTAGAAAGGCGCTCATGGGTAAATATGATCAGTGGGAGGAGCCCCCGCCGCTCGGCGCCAATGCTTTTAACCCTCTGAGTGCC